GATACACTATATTTTTAATATGCTAGTTGTGATAATTTCATGACAAGTAAAAATGTCCATAGTCATATTTTATGTTCCTAAAGTAACAGAATGACTTTCAATCTGAAAAAGAAAAAAGAAGTACTAATGTAGCATTTTTTTTTTCAATTTTTCCCAAAATTTCTGGTTTTTTTTCCGGGGAAAAAAACGGGTTTTTTCCTGAGCTTCAAAATTTCCGGAAATTTTACATCTCTAGAAGGGGCTCCAGCCCCCTACTCGTCTCGGCTGCGTTGATCCGGCATCGTTTCCCTCTGCTCGCTCTCTGCCATCCCGTGCTGCTTGCCCGCCCTCTTTGGCAGCACTCCCCCTTGTTGGAAGAGCCGAGCGTCAAGTGCCCGGCTCCCACGGCTCTTGGGAACATCAGCAGCCTGGCAGGGAGAGCTGCCTCGGGGGGGGGGGGGGGGGGGGAGGCGAGGCTCTGGCAGCGTCGCCAGGCGTGGCACCAGCCCGGCAAGGGCGGGGCAGGGGGAAGCCACAGAGAGTGGGGACGATTCCCTACCGATTTCTCCCAGCCAGCCAAAACAATTAGCTACTTGAATGTGGCCGCTTTGGAGAGAGGCTGAGTCAGAGAGATGCCACGGTAAGCCCCGGGGGGGGCGGGCAGAGGTATTGCAAGCAAGCCTGAACACAGAGCCCCTCAAGCATGGCAGACGGCTTCTGCAACTCAGCTCGGCTTTCCCGACGGTCGGAACGTCGGTGGAGCGCTGCGGCAGGCATGCTGAACACCATTCACCCGGTCGCCTCTGGCGAGTCGTGTATGCCTCCAGGCGAGCACCCAGGGCCACTCGATCAAAAGCGTACAACCCCCCCCCCAACGGATCTTCTTGCGTTCCCTTCTAGCCCCCAAGATTCTAGACAAGGCACATGTGGGCCGGTAAACATTTGCGGCAAGCAGCGACACGTTTATTCGGAACGAGAGAGCGAGAATTCAGCAGCCCGGTTCGGGGAGGCTGCTAAGCTCCGAGTCGCCGCTTGCGAAGTCTGTTCGGCAATTAAAAACGAATCGCACGCCCCAGATGCGCACATCGCTCCGATGGCGCATGCTCTCTTCTGCAGGCCACCACACGGAGGCTTGCAGGGCGCGGAGGCGCCACCCATGAGCACGGGGATATCACATCCAGCCATCACCCCGGCTCCTGAGATTTCAGACACGGCCCACGCGGCTAGCGAGCACGCCTTCTGACGCCGGCAGGGCTGGACACCGGCTGCGCTGACGCTGGACAAGAAAATCGCTTTGGGATCGTTCTGTCCCTGTTGCATGCCTGCACAGCACAACAAAGATCCAGCAGCACCCTGAAAACTAACAATTTGAAAGGGCCACTAGGTTTTTGGTTTTCTTTGCAGCGACCGACTGACAAGTGTACCCCTTAGTCGGTTGTTCCCCAACACGATGCCCGCGGGCACCATTGGATCCTTTTGCTTGGGGTCCCTAACATGGCGCCCATTTCCCGGCACACGCCAAGTGCTCTTAGAACCTGGGAGGGGTCAGGCGGGGCATTTGTCCAACAGGGCTTCTGATTGGCCGCGCAGATTAAAAGGCGTCCCGTCAAACAGAGCCTCTGCCTGAAATGTCAAATTCGTACTGTTGGAATTCAGATGGGTAGCCACAGTCCCGTAGCCAGGATTTTGCGGTTCGCGGGGCAATTTTTTTCCCTGGTGGGGCGGAAGTTCTCAGTGCAGGAAGAAAAGCCATTTAAGCCAACGGAAAGCTGCTGCCGGGATAGGTCTCTAAATTGCAAGCTGTCCGCCACTTTGGACAACAGTTCTCAGCTGCTGCAAGTTAATCACGTCTGCCAGCCTGAGCAACAATTCTGAGAACAAGCTGGCACGGGGGGTGTGTGTGTGTGTGTGTGTGATGACTTCTAGAGTCAAGAAAGGTAACAGGCACAAAAACTCTCTCTAAAGAGACTAGTTTCTTGACACAGTTAGAAGGCATCCTAGAGGTCACCTACTCCAACCCCCTTGCTCAGTGCGGGAATCAGCCAACTACAGCTCCCCACTCTGCTTAAAGAAGCGCACGCCTTTAAAAAACATTTTAAAATGATTGAAAAGAGCATTTACAATAGAAATTCTTGTGGGGCTGTGCCTTTAAGAAAGGGGGCGGCGCTCCAAAAGCCCTACCGCAGCCACGGGCCTGGGTAGCCATTTCAGTCTGTCTGTAGCAGTAGAAAAGAGCGAGAGTCCAGTAGCACCTTAAGGACAAAGACTTAAAGGCTGCCACGTATTTTGTTCGTCGCTAAGGCGCAACTGGCCTCTTGCTCTTTGCTACTGTTAGAATGAAGTATAACCTCATTTGCTGATATTTTTCTGGTCCTCCTCCAACGGCCATTTTGTGACTGGTGCCGCCTGCCGTGGCAGCCAATTTGTGATTGGCCCCGCCTCCTGTGGCAGCCATTTTGTGACTGTAGTGGACGCTGTGGCTGGATTCTAAAGGTATCCGGAGGCTCCACAAGATACCCGTTGTGGAAAAACCGCCACGTACCTCTTGACTTGGACAACTGTCGCTTTTCAGCAGGTGGGAGCTCTTCTCGTGCTTCACCTTGTCCTCTGCTCGGGCCTTTAGATACACCTGAACCACGGAAGGGGAAGAAGACCACAACACCTGTAAGAAAACCGCTCCCTTCCGGCAGTGAGAGCACCGACCCCAAGAGACAAACAAGAGACCCAACCCCGTTTGCACAGTGGCCAATCAGAGGTCTCCAGATGGCCTCCATGCTGGGTGCAAGGGCTAAAGTCACCCCATTCTACAGTTGGTAATGAGGGTGCACTGCATCTAAACATGGAGGTTCCATTTAGCCACTGTAACTGGCAGGTGCACTGCCTCTGAACATGGAGGCTCCATTTAGCCACTGTAACTGGCAGCTGTTCATGGGAGGGGGCCGTGGCTTAGTGGCAGAGCATCTGTTTTGTACGCAGAAGGTCCCAGGTTCAATCCTCGGCATTTCCAGTTAAGAAGAAGAAGAAAAAGAAGAGATTGGATGTATACCCCGCCCTTCACTACCCAAAGGTGTCTCAGAGCGGCTTACAAACTCCTTTCCCCTCCCCTCCCCACAACAGACACCCTGGGAGGTAGGTGGGGCTCAGAGAGCTCTTGACAGAAACTGCCCTTTTTCAGGAACAGCTCTTATCAGAACTACGACTTGCCCAAGGTCATCCAGCAGCTGCGAGTGGAGGAGTGGGGAATCAAACCCCGTTCTCCCAGATAAGAGTCCGCGCACTTAACCACTACCCCAGACTGGCTCTCTTAAAAAGGACCAGGCAGCAGGTGATGGGAAAGCCCTCTGCCTGAGACTCGGGACAGCGGCTGCCAGCCTGTGTAGGCAATACTGACCTCAATGGCCTAACAGTCTGATTCAGTATACAGCAGCTTTATATTTTGGTGAGGGGCCGTGACTCAGTGGAAGAGCATCTGCTCGGCATGCAGAAGGTCCCAGGTTCAATCCCCGGCATCTCCAGTGGAAAGGACCAGCCAGCAGGTGATGGGAAAGACCTCTGACCGAGACTCGGAAGAGCAGCTGCCAGTCTGAGTAGACAATACTGACTTTGGTGGACCCAGGGTCAGATACAGTTTAAGGCGGCTTCATGTGTTGCTGTGTCTTATCCTCCTTGAACTTGTCTAACCCCCTTTTAAAGCAGTCCGAGTTGATGGTCGTCGCTACATCCTGTAGCACCAAATCCGGCAATCGATTCCCTCTTCAAATGAAATGCTTTTCTTCGGTCCGCTCCTTACTTTCCTTTGGGCATCGAGTCAAAACAGCCTCTCCGGCTTTTAATGGGTATTTTACAGTCTGCCTTTAGCCCGAGGAGTGATTTATGGAGATTTTTTGGGCTACTCGTTGCGTGTTTTATACTATTTTTACGCCCTGGGTGGTTTGAAATGGTTTCAAGCTCGTTCCTAATGGCTTCTTTTTAAAAAATGAATTCACATTAATGGTCTGATCTGCTCGTTTTAATTGAAAGCAGGTCTCTGGAGAAGCAGCGCATACTTTTTCCCCAAATATTTCTGTATTTTATTACTTTTCTACTCCATCTTTTTCCCCTACAGGGACCCACAGTGGCTCATGGTTACCCTCTCCCCAATTTTATCATCACAACAACCCAGTGAGGTAGGCTGGGCTGAGGATGTGAGAATCTTCTTCTCCATTTTATCCTCACAACAACCCAGTGAGGTAGGGTAGGCCGAGAGCATGTGACTGGCCCAAGGTCACCCGGCAAGCTCCATACCAGAGTGGGGATTCGAACCTGGATCTCCGAGATACTAGCTCGGCACTCTAACCTCCACCCCACACTAGCTCTCGCTCCATAAATAAAGATTGTCCATTCCGAATTTACTGCCCGTCAGCTTTGTCATGAGCCTCCGTGTTTCTAGTACTTCAGGGAGAAAAAGTCCTGCAACTCACTACACCAGTTTGGTGTAGAGGTTAGGAGCGCGGAGTCTAATCTGGGAGAACCGGGTTTGATTCCCCACTCCTCCACCAAATGCAGCTGCTAGTGCGATCTTGGGTCAGTCACAAGTTCTCTCAGAGCTGTTCTCTCAAGGGCAGTACTCGAAAGGGCTCTCTCGGCCCCCTGCCTCACAAGGTGTCTTGTGGGGAAGGGAAGGGAAAGGAGTCTGTCAGCCGCTCTGAGACTCCTTCAGGTAGTGAAGTGCGGGGTATGAATCCAATCTCTTCTTTTCTTCTTGGGTCAGTCACAAGTTCTCTCAGAGCTGTTCTCTCAAGGGCAGTACTCGAAAGGGCTCTCTCGGCCCCCTGCCTCACAAGGTGTCTTGTGGGGAAGGGAAGGGAAAGGAGTCTGTCAGCCGCTCTGAGACTCCTTCAGGTAGTGAAGTGCGGGGTATGAATCCAATCTCTTCTTTTCTTCTTGGGTCAGTCACAAGTTCTCTCAGAGCTGTTCTCTCAAGGGCAGTACTCGAAAGGGCTCTCTCGGCCCCCTGCCTCACAAGGTGTCTTGTGGGGAAGGGAAGGGAAAGGAGTCTGTCAGCCGCTCTGAGACTCCTTCAGGTAGTGAAGTGCGGGGTATGAATCCAATCTCTTCTTTTCTTCTTGGGTCAGTCACAAGTTCTCTCAGAGCTGTTCTCTCAAGGGCAGTACTCGAAAGGGCTCTCTCGGCCCCCTGCCTCACAAGGTGTCTTGTGGGGAAGGGAAGGGAAAGGAGTCTGTCAGCCGCTCTGAGACTCCTTCAGGTAGTGAAGTGCGGGGTATGAATCCAATCTCTTCTTTTCTTCTTGGGTCAGTCACAAGTTCTCTCAGAGCTGTTCTCTCAAGGGCAGTACTCGAAAGGGCTCTCTCGGCCCCCTGCCTCACAAGGTGTCTTGTGGGGAAGGGAAGGGAAAGGAGATTGTAAGCCGCTCTGAGACTCCTTTGGGTAGTGAAAGGCGGGGTATCCATCCAATCTCCTCCTCCTCTTCTTCCTCCATCATTTTATAAAAATGGCTCCCCACACCCCCCACACGCCCGCCATCTTTTCTCAAGATGGCCGCGGCCTTCCCCTCACAAGAAAGGCGTCCCGAGAGGTCCCCGGGTCCTCCCACAAGGGCGCTAGAAAGCCACAGACGCTTCGCCACGGCAAAGGGCTCACCTTGATGATCTCTTCGTCCCCCTCGCTGGACTTGACGCACTCCGAAGCCAAGGCGTGGCTGCCCGCGGGCCGGTTGGCCACCATTGCAAAGGCCCTTCCCACCGGCTGTAAAGAGAGAGACCAGAAGGAGGGCGGTGGATATCGGGCTCTCTCTCGCACGCAAGCAGGGGCCAGGCAAACAATTTGATTTTTAGGAAACACGGAACGGGACTCTTTCGAGACCACGACGACACCCGTACACAGAGATTATTAAAAAGTGGAGGGTGGGGGGCAAGTTAGACAGTAGAGCGGAGGTCCCCAACCCGTCTGAGCCCGTGGGCGCCTTGGAAATCGAAACACAGCATGGAGGGCCTAGGCACAAAATGGCCACCACAAAATGGCTGCCACAGAATCAGAGTTGGAAGGGACCTCCAGGGTCATCTAGTCCAACCCCCTGCACGGCAGGAGATTCACAAGTACCTCCTCCCCACACCCCCAGTGACCCGTTCCGTGCCTTTTGTTGTTCAGTCGCACAGCCGAGTCCGACTCTCCGCGACCCCATGGACCAGATCACGCCAGGCCTTCCGGTCTTCCGCCGTCCTCTGAAGTTTGCTCAATTTCATGTTCGTTGCATCTATGACACTGTCTAACCATCTCATCCTTTGCCGTCCCCGTCGTCATTGACCTTCAGTCTTTCCCAGCTTCAGGGTCTTCTCCAGTGAGTTCTCCCTTCTCATTTGGTGGCCAAAGTCTTTGAGCTTCAGTTTCATTATCTGGCCTTCCAGGGAACAGTCAGGGTTGGTTTCTTTTAGGATTGACTGATTTGATCTCCTTGCAGTCCAAGGGACTCTCAAGAGTCTTCTCCAGCACCATAGTTCAAAAGAATCTATTCTTCAGCGCTCGGCCTTCCTTATGGTCCAACTCTCGCAGCCACACATGACTACTGGGAATACTAAGCGCTGAGGCGACCCTTCCTGCCCTCCCTCTCGCGATCTGCCAGAGTTCACAGGATGAGTATTGCTGTCAGATGGCCATTTAGCCTCTGTTTGAAAACCTCCAAAGAAGGAGAGCCCACCACCTCCGAGGAAGCCTGTTCCCAAGGAACCGCTCTAATTCTTCTGAATGTTTAGCTGAATACTCTTTTAACATAAGAGAACATAACAACATAAGAGACCCCAATGTTGGATCAGGCCAAAGGCCCATCCAGGCCAAAACTCTGTGTCACACAGTGGCCAGAAATACCAGTGCCATCAGGAGGTCCACCAGTGGGGATTTAATTTAAACCTGTTGGTTCTGGTCCGACCTTCTGGAGCAACAGAAAACAACTCTGCAGCAGCCTCTATAGGACAGCCCTTCAAGTACTTGAAGATGGTGATCGTATCCCCTCTCAGTCGTCTCCTCTCCGGGCTGAGCACACCCAGCTCCTTCAGCCTTTCCTCAAAGGACTTGGTCTCTAGACCAGTGTTCCCTCTAAGCTGAGTTAGTGTGAGCTAGCTCACAGTTTTTTAGCCTCTGGCTCACACATTTTTGCCTTAGCTCAGGAAGGATGGCTCCGAAGCAAACTAATTTGTGCAGTAGCCAAATTGCTCGCTCACAAGTTTAATGCCAGTAGCTCACAAAGCAGAATTTTTGCTCACAAGACTCCACAGCTTAGAGGGAGCATTGCTCCAGACCCCTCACCATCTTCGTTGCCCTCCTCTGGACACGTTCTAGCTTGTCTATATATCCTTCCTAAATTGCGGTGCCCAAATACGATAGGTGGGGTCTACCCAGAGCAGAGTGGAGCGATACCCTCACTTCGTGTGATCTGGACACTCTACTTCTGCTGATACAGCCCAAAATCGCATTTGCCTTTTTCGCAACCACATCACACTGTCGCTTCGTGTTCAGTGAATGGTCTACTAAGACCCCTACACCCTCCTGCCAAGACAGGTCTCCCCCATCCGATAATTTACGCATTTGATTTTTCCGACCTACATGCAGAACTTTACATTTATCCCCACTGAAATTCATTTTATTCATAGGAGGGGAGCCAGCTGCAAAATGGCCGCCACAGATTACTTCAGAGACACAGTGAAGAGTCTCGCGGCGTGGCAACTGCAGCCGCCGAAGCAACATTTTTTAAAAAATCTGCACAATCAGATGCCTTGCTGGGCAAAAACCCTACATGGCACCAGGAAAGGAGTCGGTTGGCCCCACGGCACCCACGAGAACCACGCTGTGGACCCCTGAGATCGACCAAGGAACGCCTCAGCTCTCCCCAAGCCAGACGGAGCCCCCTCCACCCAGGCGGTTCCGACAAGCCGGACTTTTGGGTTTCGGCACACGGGGGCGTCTACTCACCTTCTGCTTCACTGGGTCCCGCCTCTCGCCGGGGAGGTCATTCTGCAGCGTCAGCCGTAATATTTTCACACTGTCCTAAAGATGCAGAAAGAAAGAAAAAAAAGCGGCTGTTGCGAATTGCTCCTGACTGCGTTGCTGACAGATTGTCATCGATGCATGCAGCATCTTATGGAATCAGGTAGGTCACTGGCCTGTGGGTGGAGGTTGTGGCTCAGTGGCAGAGCCTCTGCTCGGCATGCAGAAGGTCCCAGGTTCAATCCCTGGCGTCTCCACTTGCAGCAGGCAATGGGAAAGACCTCAGCCTGAGACCTTGGAGGGCCCCATGCCAGTCTGAGACGATAGTAAGGCAGTTTCCTGCATCCATTTGCAGCTAAAGGCATTTATACATCTGGACTGTGGCGTCCTTGCTTATTGGGGAGACAGTTTTACCTTTAAACACTCTCTGAGTACATAAACTTGGTAGTTTTCTGCTGCCACCAGGAATTAAAAATTCCAAATCTCTCTCTTTTGGTAGTATGACCTAGGGTCTAGGCACTTCAAAGGACTATGTGGCCCTGAGGAACTACTGTACTGGTTTCTGGGATAAGTTTAAACAAAAATTGATTTATTTAATAAATAACAAAATAAGTTTCTGTTTATTTTGAACAGCTGCTGACAAAAGGAACTTGTAAATATAGCTGTCAACAACGCCAAACTCCACTCTGCAAGGCTTATTCGCTCATATTTATATAGCCACACAGGCTAGTCTCTTTGTTCTATTCACTGAATAGAATCAACTCTCTTAGTCACGCAGACTAAACTGTAGGTCTTATTTACACAGAATTAGACTCGGAGTTCCATATTCACACAGACTAAGCTGTCTCTTCAGACTTCACACACAGAATCCTTCATAACTCTCGGAGTCACACAGACTCTCTTCAAAACTCTTCCATACTTGTCTCTCCTCAAAGACATAGAATCCTTTCAGATACCCCTCCTCCCACACTCTCAGTCATCAACCAATCAAATCACACTCATCTCCCCTATCGCTCTCCTTACATTACTGCAGTCAAACTCAACATTTAAAGACACACACACACCAAAACATGGAATCATTACATGGACCCATGGGGCAAAGGCACAAAAGGGAAGGGAGAGGAAGTGAAGTGCCACAGAATCATAGAGTTGGAAGGGACCTCGAGGGTCATCTAGTCCAACCCCATAAATGCAGGAAATTCACAAATACCTCCTCCACTGCACCACCAGTGACAGCTGTTCTATGCCCAGAAGATGGCAAAGAAAACCAAACCCCAGGATCCCTGGTCAAACGGCCCTGGAGAAAAACTGCTTCCTCACCTCAGATTGGCGATGATCAGCATTTCCCTGGGCGTGCAAGAAAGGGCCAGGAAGGAGAAACAGGAAGGCAGAGATCTGATAGGGCTTCCTCACTATGAGGATGAGGGGATTAAGAACGACGCAGGCTTTGGGAAGGCGTCAGCAAATGAGGAAGAATTAGAAGTGGCATCACTCCTAATCCTTTAATGGCCTTCATGTAAACAGAACGAGCGCACACCTTTTCTGAGCGCACGCCTCCTCTTGACTGGGGAGGGGCCGTGGCTCAGTGGCAGAGCCTCTGCTTGGCATGCTGAAGGTCCCAGGTTCAATCCCCGGCATCTCCAGTTAAAAAGGACCAGGCAGGAGGGGATGGGAAGGACCTCTGCCTGAGACCCTGGAGAGCTGTAAAGAGGGGCTGTGGCTCAGTGGTGGAGCATCTGCTTGGGATGCAGAAGGTCCCAGGGTCAATCCCCGGCATCTCCAGTTAAAAAGGACCAGGCAGGAGGGGATGGGAAGGACCTCTGCCTGAGACCCTGGAGAGCTGTAAAGAGGGGCTGTGGCTCAGTGGTGGAGCATCTGCTTGGGATGCAGAAGGTCCCAGGGTCAATCCCCGGCATCTCCAGTTAAAAAGGACCAGGCAGGAGGGGATGGGAAGGACCTCTGCCTGAGACCCTGGAGAGCTGTAAAGAGGGGCTGTGGCTCAGTGGTGGAGCATCTGCTTGGGATGCAGAAGGTCCCAGGGTCAATCCCCGGCATCTCCAGTTAAAAAGGACCAGGCAGGAGGGGATGGGAAGGACCTCTGCCTGAGACCCTGGAGAGCTGTAAAGAGGGGCTGTGGCTCAGTGGTGGAGCATCTGCTTGGGATGCAGAAGGTCCCAGGGTCAATCCCCGGCATCTCCAGCTCAGAAGAGTAGGAGACTGGATTTATACCCCGCCCTTCACTACCCAAAGGAGTTTCAGAGAGGTTTACAATCTCCTTTCCCTTCCACAGAGAAGGTGGCACTCCTCTGGTGCAAGGTAACTTACGCTGGGGTAACTGGGGCTGTTAGAAGAACAGAGTGGTGGGTCCCAACCCCCTACGTTGCAAAAGTGATATTAGAAAGATTGCACAAAAGGAACACACACCCCTTTAAAGTAACTCCTAACCTTACATAAGCCAGGGTGGAAAGGTTCCAAGAACAAGTCGCTCGGCAGAACCAGAAACTGACACAAAAGGACCAGCGGCAAACTGGAGTCAGCCCCGCCCCACTGTTCTAATCCCCTCTTGCCAACATAAAGCAGAGCTCTCTGGGCAGCCAGTTTCGGAGGGCGGGCGTACCGGTCTTGCAGAAGAAGTGCCACATTCGAATCCAGGAGCACCTTGAGAGCCCCAGAAGATATCTCTGGGTATGAGCTTTTGAAGAGTCAAAGCAGCCTCCGTCGGATAGTTTTGGCAGAGGTAGCTTTGTTCTGGGGCGTGCGTGGCGTTTGCAAGCAGACTCCAATTTTCCATGGGGTGTGTCTGAATCCTGAAAGTCGGGCAGCAACTTGTGCAGAGGAGCAGAGGGACACAAGACAGCCACAACGGGAGACCCCGTCGCACGAACACGTGAGGCTGCGTCATACTGGACCAGACTCTTGGTCCGTCAACATCAGTATTGTCCACTCAGACAGGCAGCAGCTCTCCAGGGTCTCAGGCGGAAGTCTTTCCCATCACCTCCTGCCTGGTCCTTTCAACTGGAGATGCCGGGGATTGAACCTGGGACCTTCTGCATGCCAAGCAGATGCTCTGCCACTCAGCCACGGCCCCTCTTTACAGCCCTCCAGGGTCTCAGGCGGAAGTCTTTCCCATCACCTCCTGCCTGGTCCTTTTAACTGGAGATACCGGGGATTGAACCTGGGACCTCCTGCATGCCAAGCAGATGCTCTGCAACTGAGCCACAGCCCCTCTTTACAGCTCTCCAGGGTCTCAGGCAGAGGTCTTTCCCATCACCTCCTGCCTGGTCCTTTTAACTGGAGATGCCGGGGATTGAACCTGGGACCTCCTGCATGCCAAGCAGAGGCTCTGCCACTGAGCCACAGTCCCTCTTTACAGCTCTCCAAGATCTTTTAACTGGAGACGGCAGGGACCGAACCTGGAACAAGCTCTTCCATTGAACCACAGACCCTCCCATCCTGTGCCAACTACTCCCGCCAACTTAGCTCTTAGGTACCTCTGTTGCTTCTCGAGTCTTTGCGTAAAAGTCTGCATTTTCATAACCACGAGGACCAGTCGCATGGTTTTTAAAAGTGACAAAAAGAGAACCTTGAACTCACAGCTCTGAGGCAGCCACCAGATTCCGAACTGGGTGTCACGTGCAAGTAACTGAGCGCCAACTGCACACAGACGGGGATGCCAGAACGGTGGCCACACCTTAAGCAACGTGGGGAGGGGCCGAGGCTCGGTGGCAGAGCCTCTACTTGGCATGCGGAAGGTCCCAGGTTCAGTCCCCGGCATCTCCAGTTACAAAGGACCAGGCAAGAGGTGAAGGGAAAGACCTCCGCCTGAGACCCTGGAGAGCTGTAAAGAGGGGCTGTGGCTCAGTGGTAGAGCCTCTGCTTGGCATGCAGGAGATCCCAGGTTCAATCCCCGGCATCTCCAGTTCAAAGCACCAGGTAGGAGGAGATGGGAAAGACCTCAGCCTGAGACCCCGGAGAGCTGTAAAGAGGAGCTGTGGCTCAGTGGAAGAGCCTCTGCTTGGCATGTGGAAGGTCCCAGGTTCAATCCCCTTGGCATGCAGAAGGTTCCAGCTAAAAAGGCCAGGCAGGTAGCAGGTGATGGGAAAGACCTCCGACTGACAGTATGAGTCAGCAGTACTGACCCTGATAGACCAAGGGTGGGATGGGGCTGTGGCTAAGTGGCAGAGCATCTGCTTGGCACGCAGAGGGTCCCAGGTTCAATCCCCGCATCTTACATTTTTTTAAATTATTAATTAATTAATTATATTTCTACCCCGCCCTCCCCGCGAACGGGCTCAGGGCGGCTCACAAAAAGGGCACCATGTGCCAATATAAAACAGTAAAACACATAAAGACACATAAAAACGTTATCAAAATAAAGTGCTCAACGGTGTTATTAAAACTACCAGGTAGGAGAGAGCCAGTTAAGTGCGCAGACTCTAATCTGGGGGGGGGATGGGAAGTTTTCCGAGCTTCAAAATTTCCAGAAATTTTACATCTCTACTTGGGCCAGGAAGCTGCGGAGGCTCAAGTGGTTAAGACGCTGAACTGCAGGCTGTGGATGGTCGGTAGTTCAGCAGTTCGAGACCCGGGTGCCGCATGACGGAGTGAGCTCCCATCTCTAGTTCCAGCTCCTGCCAACCTAGCAGTTTGAAAGCAAGAAGTTGCAAGTAGATAAATAGGTACCACTTAGGTGGGAAGGGAACAGCGTTCTGTGCGCCTTGGTGTTTAGGCATGCCGGCCACATGACCACGGAAACGTCTTCGGACAGCGCTGGGTCTTCGGCTTTGAAACGGAGATGAGCACCGCAACCCTAGAGTCGGATTCGACTGGCTTTTGAGCAAGGGAACCTTTACCTTTTACTTGGGCCAGAGACCACCCAAGAAGACTCAGCGGAGGAAGGCAACCGCAAACCACCCTCTGCCCCTCTCTCGCCTGGGAAAGCCCAAACTCCTGGGGCTGCCGGGAGTCGGCTGTAACCGCCTGGCGTGCTCTTTATTATTTAGTGATTGAGATAACGATGCGCCCCCTTTGTTCCTCGTGGAGCTCAGGGCCGCTCCCGG